TAATTTACTATAGGTTTCCTACTTTCTAAGGTATAGATGAACTGATTCTGGGTGCTCATCTAATATACATATAGATGTTTATATGTAAATGTATGAAAAGGATTTAAACAGGAGTTTTTTAGGTGAAAAGGATGAAAAAATCTTGAGTATCAATGTGGGTAGAGGGAGGTTTTAAGATGGATTCCCATGGAAGAATGGCATTCTACTTAATTTTTTTCATCATAGCTTTCGGCTTTTAAAAAAAGGAGTAATCTTTTCAGCTAGGGTTTGAAACTATATTTTGAGTCATAAAATTGACCACACACCCTTGAATTTTTGAGACATTTTAAGTGAAACGAGGCAGCTCCTGCTTGTATGTGTTTGAGTTGCTCAGGTTTTAGTTGGTGACTATTTGTAATATTTGTGAGGGTTCCCTTGCCTGAAAGAAATTTTAGTTCAGCTTCAGAGTAGCTAGAGGTAATAGCTGAAGAACGCCAGGTTTCTCTGACTCCTGTCCCTCATTCTTGTTTTAAAAGCCAGAAAAAAAAGAACATGTTCATTGAAATCTCGTAAAAGTTTTAGTTTTACTGCTCCGTGGAACTTTTTAGTTAATTTATAGAGGTTATAAAGTATAATCACTGTGACTGAATCCAGTTATAGATATTGTTATATAGTTAATGCTGGAAATTCTGGATTTGTATCAGGAGGATTTGGCTGCTCTGTCTGGGCAGTGTTTATAGCCAAGATAAAATAAAGGTTTGAAGGAAAAGTGCTTTTTTGTAATCATTACTTTAGTGAAGTAGTATGAATGTTGATATTGTATCTTGGACATATTTTACTTGTATCAACAATATTTTAGTGCTCGCTTTATTTTAGTCTCACATGGTCTTTTGTTTATCTCTGCTTGTCCCTCTTCAGGCTTGTTGGATGGGGCAGCTGCCTCTTTCCAGCAGTCAGTGTGTTAAAACCTGAGCTGTCAGTCTATCATGGAGCCCACACAAACAAAACATGATCACTCACCCACACCCTCACACCTAGGGGTAATTTAGAGTCACCAATTAATCTACCATGCGTTACTTTGTGCTGTGTGGGCACACCGGAATACCCAGGGGAATCCTGCACACAAAGAGGAATAACATCCAAACCCTGGACAAGAAAGCCCTGGGTGGGATTTGAACCCAGAACCTTATTGCCTCCAGGCAGCCAAGCTACCATCTGCATCATCATGCAGGCACATTTTCTGCTTACAAAAGGAAGTGATTGAATTTGGGTTTTCTTTGTTGCCACTTAGCTTGTATTCATTGGAGATGGTAATTAAACATGTGTTGTTCTCATACCTTCAGTGCTCTTTGTTAAACGTCTGTATGTGTCTGGTATCCTGTCGGGAGAAGTCTGGACCAGAATCATCACCCAGTCTTCTAAATTGCTAGACATATGGCACAGGCTTTGTGTCAATTGCACTCTGTGGGGTTTCGATGAACACAAGGTAGATTTGATTTTCCTCTACTGTGTCTCTCAGCTGCAGTGAGATGCAGAATTTCTTTAGTGAAATGCAATAAAAATGTAGAAAACTGGATATCCTATCATATTTCTCCTTCCTGTTCTATGCATTTTTTTTTCTACTCAAAATAAATGGCAAGGCTTTCATTCTCTTTTTAATGTGACAAATCATGCTTAAGTGATTGGGAAAGACTTAGACCGAAGACGTATCCCTTGTTGTTTGCCAAAGACGAACAGTCGGAATAATCGGATTTGCCTTAGTATTAGCAAGTATTCCAAACGGATGAACGATTTGCCTCTCAGTTGATGTTGTTTTATTCAAAGCCAATTATATATTGTCTGGGAACTTTGTTACTAATCCAGATGTTAATTTTCCTCCCTTTCTCTTCCAGTAGATTGTTTTACCCTTGGGATTTTACTTTTTACACGTTCATTTACATCTTAAACGGATCAGACTGTGTAGAGTGAAATCTAATTCCTAACGTCTGTTATAAATGCATTCTAGCTCATTTAGTCCCTAACTGCACATTATTTCTGCATTTATTGACAAAAAAAGATTTGTTTCCCTCTATTTTGATGAATTACTGTCAGGTCTGAAGCATCATTACAAACTATCAAACTTTATGTTTTAGTACCTTAAAATTACAGAGATCAGTGTATAGTGGATTGCTATGTGACGGATAAGTAAAAATTATTGCGTGACTTAGAAGTAGGTCCAGATTGATGCATAGTTCATGTGTTGTGTGAAGGCCTTAGCGGTTTTGTGGGAGATCATTGGTGAACAATCAGCATCATGAAGAACAACAAACACACCAGAAACTTAGAGATACAGACGGGTCTAAAGCAGATTTGAGTTATAAAATGGTATCCTAAGCTTTGGACATTATTCAATAAAGTTCCACGACTCAGGTGGGAGGACCTGTGAAAAGTAAAACTTATTAGTATTATTTATGGACTACAAATCTGCCCATTTAGAGCACAATACAACCATCTAGAAGGTCCAGTGGAGCGAAATGAACTGCTATTGCTTAATTTTTCAGAAGTAAAAAGTGGGACTTTTCTTGATTGCTGAGGTTGAGTTTCTTTTGTAGTATAAAATATTACGGACAGAAATACCGTTGTTTCTTTGTTCTGCCCAGCTTGCCTAAAACAATATATTTTTCTGTCCTGGCAGGTTTTATGTGCAGGTCTACAGTGCTACAGTGAAATGGTTTCCATCAAAGCTCATTCATCTTTCAGAATGACCCAGACCTAAGTTCAGCTGAGCAGAAGTGGTAGTACCTGAACATTGATGTACAGACACTGTCCATTCAATCTCAGTGAGCTTGGCTTGTCTTCCAAAAGGGAAAGGCAAAAACTTCAGTTTCTGTTTACAAAGCTTGCAGACACAAACCTCCAAATATTTGTGGTTTTACTCGCAGTGGAAGAGTCCTGATACAGACTGCCTGAAGATACACTTTTGAAATTTTTATTTGTAAAAGAAAAAAAAAGGGAAATCATGTATGATTTCTTTCCGCTTTGGAATCTTGAACTACTTGGTGTTTGTGTATCAAGTAAAATCCCAATAAAATATGTTGAAGCTTGTGATTATGTGGTAAATATAGGACATGCTCACAGAATGTGAATACTTTGAATAGCATCAGAGCAATTCTGACTAAACCGAGAGAATACATAAAACTTGAAATGGATTATCACTTTGGTGTAAATTTTTTTAGGTTTCCAGACTGTTTTTATTTAAATTTGTCAGCAGCAGTGATTTCTGCATCTCCTGATGGCATCAACAATATTTATTATTAAGGCAGCACTAGGCACTACAGACTGTAATTGGGGCTTTGGATAAAAAGGAAGCAACATTTGATTTAATGGCTGCATCCCAAACAAGGTTTCATGGCTTGCAGTATGGCTCACTTTTTATATCACTGAATCCCCCGAAGGAAAGACAGAGATGTCATCATTAGTGGGCAGTAGACTATGGTTGTGTTGACTGTGATGGCTGCAGAGGTCTATAACTTGGTCAGCCAAGTCTGTGGCCCAGCAACAGCTTTTACTGTCCATTTCCCCTGCCTGTCTATCTGGGTTCCCATCTGGACACGTGATCCAGTGCCAGTCTGCACCCGCTGAATAAATTTGAGGAGCTAATGAGCAAGGAAGCTCTGCAAAGACCTGGAAAAGGGCAGCTCTTTCTCTTCTCCACCTCCGAGGAAAAGGGAGGGAAAAGTCGCTGTGGTCAATTTTATTAACTTGGCTGACCTTAACACAAACAATTAACATTTACTGAAAACGCATCCCCTCCCATTATCTTCCTCATCTCCATCTTAATCTTCAACCTCACCACCACCAACAGCATGTTGTTTTTATTCTGCTTGTACAAAAGAAATTTATCAGGCGGCAGAAAATTAATGGCAAAGCCTTTGCTTGCTTTTCATAGACAATCGCAAGGTGATGTGCATTATGCAGCAGAAGGTCGGCTCTCTGAAGGTCGCTGACATGTTTGGTAATTGGCTCTAGGCCACAACTCGGAGTCAAAAAGCAACAATTACCAGCAGTGATTTTGTGACCTAATATGACTTTTCAGATAAGCAGACAATTTCAAAATATGCTCTTTGCCACTGCTCCAACAGAAATAAATATATGTGACGATTCATATAAATAAAATATGCCGTTGGTTATTTCTGAGCTGTAAAAAAAAAAAAAAGCAAACTTTTGTAGTAATTAATCGTTTGACATTACTGGATGAACTAGACTGGAAGATGAAATGAAAAGTTCTACTGAGCAACATGTGAAAATATTTGTAGAGAATTTTGGGTTACTTCAAATTCAGAAGTTTACATTCAATAAAATTACATATCTTGTACTATCAGAGGTTGTCAGCCTAATATTAGGAGATTAATAGCACTGAATTGAGAACCTGATAGATGTATTTAAGATATGCATCATGTATCAATCAATTGAATTAATCATCCATCAAATATTTGTCTGAAAAAAATATTATTTACTTTGCCATTGAACTTATTTTATCTCACATTCAATGTAGCAAGGAGATTCTGTGAATTTATTTAGTAGCAAACAAAAAGTTATTTTACTTTCTTTAAAGATTATCAGGAAAAACACTGGCGACTCTTTTCAGGATTCAGTACATTTGTGTGGGATAAGAGGTACAACAAGGACATTTTGAAACACAAAAAGCAGATTTTGTTTGAGAAAGTTTTCCTCTGAAGTTTTTGGGCTCTGCATCTGTTTTTTTTTTTATTTCTTCTCCAGCATATGACAAGCAGAACAACAAAACATATTCTTACAACACATAGTGTCTGAAAATAATATAAACATTCCACAAAAGGCTCAATTGAAATGCTGTTTAATTAGGTAACACACGAAAAGCACACTTACTCTTTGGATTTGTTTCTTCTTTCTTTTCAGCTAAGCTGTCAGGCATTTTGTTCCTATCCTGACGAAAGCAGAAAATGAGAACTGCATTAACACTTATTTTTTGTGTTTTTGTGTATGTGCCCTTTCATTTTCAGAACCTAATAAAGAACTTGCCTGAGCAGAAAGAACTGAGTGCTCTAGCGGAACTAAAAGGTGAATACGAGGAGCTTGTGGAGTCAGAGCAGTTCGGCATTGTGGTAAGTATAATTAGCTCTTGCCGAGTGGATTTTTGCACAGTGAATCTAGTCATACTCATACTTTATCCTCAAACACTTTCCAACATGCACAATTAAACATTGTATTATTATTTTTCCAAAGATCTGTTTGGTCAGTAACCCAGAATCAGGATTTATTTATTTTTTTTTTTGCAAAGCAGTAATTTTTAATCAAGCAAAAAACCTTCAACGGCCTCAAATGGCGTCAAAACTGATAGCTCCATCTCCAAATGACAGCAGCTTTTGTTAAGTCTTTTTGACTTGAGCAAAAAACAGTTCAATCAGTTTTGATGAGCGTTCAGCATTAAGAACTTTGTTGATGCGGCTCTTTGACATCAGCTGTCAATGTTGTCTCGTGATAAAATCACCCCCTCAGGCTGTGTATGAATCCTCCCTGTTTAAAGGTCTTTGAAAAGCACGCAGCTGTAGGCAACCAGCCTGGCGTTGTATCCCAATACTCCTATCAATTTACAATGAACATCCAAAAGTTCGATCTTCTCCACTTCCATAATAAATAATGCTGTTATATTCTCTGCTTGACACATGGTATCCAGAATGTAACCTGTTTCTGTTTTTTAACTCAGAGTATTTTTTTAAACAAAGAATGATTTATGTGTTGGGAAACAGTCTGCCATGTATCCCAGACTGTACATAGATGATGTTAATTGACATTTTTCATAATTTTCACATAGTAATGATAAAAGAAAGAAGGAATTTTTAAAAAGTAACTTGTACTTATCAAATAATCATATTCTTGTGAGGTCAATGGAGTGGTGTATGTTGCTGGTCAGATATTGACATACTTTAATGAATGGGGTTCAACATGCTAAATAAAGACATCAGTACAACAAATATCTTTAACCATTTTTATTAGCTAGAATTTAGATGCACATTTTACATTTAACTAAATAATATCAAGATTTCATACTACTCTTCCTTAATATGAAGAGGATGGGGCAGTAAAATTGACCCCCTCCATCCCATTGTGGCAGTTTGTCGCTTGCGATAATCGTAACCGATCCTCCTGTACTGTGAGTTGTGTCAGGACTGATCTGGTCCAGTCGGTAAAACGTTGGCACTTCTCCGATCTAAAATCGGGCATTTTCAACATTGTCTTGGCCCAACTATTGCAGCCTGTGGGGTTTTCCCTGACAGTGAGCGAAAATGCCGCCTGTTAAATGTGACAAGGAGCCAATCAGAAAGCACAGTGATGTAAGCACAGAGGGGAATCCCAAACAGCTGACCTCATGCAACTGAGCCCAGCCTATTGCTTAATGCTGCAAATAAAGCTTATCGCTTAAAATGAATCCACAAACTATCGCCACTGTTTCTACATCGTCATCCGTGTTTGATTGTTCTAAATTCAGGTATGGTGTGTTGGGGATTTTAGAGATTTTCTTCTGGAACTGGGATATTCGTGAGTGGAGTCGGTTCTTGTGTAGTGTGTTGCTCATGCCTTGTGGCAGGACACAAGAACCGATCGAACTTCTTGTACATCATCTCCTGTGTGCTCACAGAGGTTTGGAAAATCGGCCGACCATTCTTAAATCGTGCCCAGTGAACCACACTTAAGACTCATAAGCTCTACTCCTCTCCTCTCGTCTCAACCACTGCCCTAACGCTCTCTGACTTTGGTCACTATGGTAATGTTTAGACATCCCTTCAAAATAGTATATAGATGCGCCACAAAAACGAACCTTTTATTTTTATGAAAATTTGAACTCTCAAAAACGACAAAATCGATGGGAGACCCGAGCTTATTTGTCTGCAACGAGACGATCCAACCTGGGAGTAATGAGAGACAATGACACCCGAAGTGTTGCTGATGCACAGCGTCTTTGGTCTCCTCGTGGCGAAGCCTTGTTATCGAGCCGGTCACCGCATATTATGCAGAGCAGCTTGGAATGTGGGAATCACCTACTGGGATAAATCCATTCTCCTGTCTCTTCTCTGGTCCTTTTCCCCTTTGCAAAGAAACTTTCCAAAGACATCTGATCTGTTTCTTACTCATTTTGCTGCTTGTTTGCTCAATTTTGTTGCACAAAACGTAACTGAGAGAATCCGGTTAAAGGATTTTCAAAATAAAAGATCCTTCAGACTCAGATAATACATAGAATGGAAATATTTAATTTTTTCTTGTGCGGCCCTGTACCAGTTGGGCCGCGTACCGGTACCGGGGATTGGGGACGACTGTGCTAAAGGACGTTTTGGCATTGTGTGGTTGCATGTAGTTTGAACCTGTTTGATTCAGAAAAAAATCCTCATTAGTTTTAAACTTGTGCACCACTTTTGTATTTATTGCATTGAAGTTGCTTGTTGTTCACATTTTCAATGCCACAAATAGAACAGTTAAAAAAACAAACAAAAGCCTCAAATGAGCAGCATTCATATCCAGGTAAGTGCTATATTTTTCTACTGGTTTTACTGGGGTTAACACACTCATGTGATTGACTGGAATCTGAGAAGGGAAGTGAATCTTCAACATTGTCTCTGACCTTTCCATTTAGCTACAGCTCTAATTACTTTTTAATTAACAGCTCTTTTCATCCATTTACTGAATGACTGCCCTGGAGTGAAAAACAGAGACGTTACCTTTAAAGTAATCTTCTCAATAAGATCATAGAAGTACACTGTATACTTTAACAAAACATATGTTCAGCCAGACCTGAAGAGTGCAGACGTGTTTCATCCAGATATAGTACTTCTTTTCACTCATCAAAAGCTTTCTTCTCGTGTTTTTAGAAGATGGAACGAAGCACGGGGTTGCACTTTACCTCTTGAGCTCACCTATGTTGTGATCACAAAACCCTTTACTAATCAAGTCGCTCCTCACTGCAGAGATTTTTAGTTCCCCTGGGAAATAACAGATGTTCCAGCTTTCCTCTTCCTCAGCTGTCACCAACACGCTGGCTTTCAACGTGATTCCTGCTTATTGTGTGTAAATCAGTTCTTGTGAGGTTGGACTCTGGGTGCTGATCTGTTTGAATGTGCACTCCTAACATTTGTGCAGGAAGATCATAAGTATTTGTATTGATGCCCTTAAATTCTCTAATTATCAGCAAAACATTAGTTAAATATTAGAAGGGAAAATTTTCTATAAACCTTGTAGTTCAGCTGTAGCTATTCATTCATATTCTTGACTCTGTGAATGTCAATAAATTAATCAATATCGACATTCATAAAAGAAAAAGTGAACATCAATTTGCCATTTTTAAGGGGAGATTTAAGACAGAGAAACTATTTAAAAACAAAACTCGAAGAATATTTACTGGTTTTGCAGTGCCAATCTATGTATCTAACAAACTAAGTTAATCCAATAAATTGAACTATTTGAATGGAAATAAGTTGAATAGAAATGGATGACAGTTCAAGACAAAATGTGAGGCATTGATTCATATGTCAAAGTACATAGTGCATTGCAAAAGTTTATTAATGCTGTGTTTTTTGTTTTTTTTTTGGTCTCTCAAATGAGGTAGACAGGTATAGCTTGATAGTGACAAACAGTATGCATTCATATCAAATTTCCTCTGTAGTCAACAAATTGTTTATTTCTTTTCTTTTTTTGCTTGAATTCAAATGTATACCACAGTTCTACTACACCGTAGTATATGACCCTTGATAGGATCTAATCTGTCCTTACACACTCACCCAACACAAATGACAAACTTTATTCAACTGAACCTTTACAAAACAAGTAAATTAGCACTAACTTTTTGCTTCAAAGTTCGCTAAAATACTAAAGTGCAAAGCAAAAACGTTGCAGTTGGTGAATTAGTGGCAATAAACCCACCATTGGAAATTACTCACTACCTACTTTCCTCTAACTTTGCAGATGAGTTCAGTGAAGCTGCTGCGACCACGTCTCAATGGCATTTTGTTCAAGCTGACTTTCGAGGAGCAGGTGAACAACATCCGGCCAGACATCATGAATGTGACGTTCGCCTGCGAGGAGGTAAAGAAGAGCGAAGGCTTCCGCAAACTCCTGGAGTTTGTGTTGCTGGTCGGCAATTACATGAATGCTGGCTCAAGGAACGCACAGACGTTTGGTTTCAACATCAGCTTCCTGTGCAAGGTAAGGCTCTGACAAAACAGAAAGTACTTTGTAGAAAAGTCATTTGGAAATTGATTTTGAATTGTTTCAAATGCATCTGTGACACGGCTAATTAATATGCAGTTACTATGATGCAAAAGAGCAGTTTTTGTATGTACAAACATACTTTGATACAATGTGCAGCTACTGTAGATCAGATAAAATCTGCATTACACAGCAATGTTTTCAGTTTTCAATGTATAGATCAGTAGAAGCAATTTCCATTCACCTAATAGGAAAACTTTTATTTATCCTAAATTTGGCAGACACACTGAGTCTCTCAGTGAGTGTGCAAATCCAAATGCATAGAAAGAAAATGCTGAAATAAACAAAAGCATACTTCCCACTGACACTTGTTGTAAAAGCTTGTCATTACATTCAATACCCACAGACTTGACAGGATTTCTAATACCTTTCAAACTAAGTTCATCGAACGAGTTAGCTTGCAGGTAGGCGTATAGTTTCTGATGACTCAATTTTTATGACTCACAACACAATTTAAATATTATGTTGCGGGAGGAAGTAAAATAAACTAAACATTGTTGCTCTCTCTGCTTCAAAACATAAACTTGTTAAATAATTACTTTTAAAGTGATCAGACAAAACCAGTTCATTTTGTGCTGACTTGTGGAGTGAGACAGTTAAATCGCTAAACATTTATGTACTGAAGAGTTTTTGACTTTTATTGATAACATTCTTCCACAAATAGAAAAGAATTTAAACATTTACTTAACTTCATCATCTCAATATTCATCTAAGACAAGTGGCATTACAGTTTTACTCTAAATGCATCCATAATATATACCAGAATCTGCAAAAGTTTACACTTATTTGTACAGCATCTAATTAGTAGTTGCAGAAGTAGGAGAGTTTTGCTTTATGTCACTTTGTGACATAAAGCCAATTTGAGCATACAATGCTGGCATACAGAAAGTCATTACAAGTCCTACAAATTGGATTTTATGTGATTAAAGGTAAAGTATGTAGTCAGGCAGAAGGGAAGATGAAACAAAAACTATGTATGTGTATCTGTTCAGCCCCATTTGTGCCAACACTACCCTGTTGTGGAGAAGTTTAAAGTCTACCAATCTAATATGTAACATACATGAACTTCATATCTTGCACTTGCTTTTACATAAAAATTTAACTAGTTTTTGTTTGCAGCATGCATTTGTGTTTTCTCAGTTCTGCTTGAGGGCTCATTTCCCCCAAGCTTCTCAGATCAGACAGAAGTTTGGTTTTCAAGGTTTGAGAACCTACGTTTGTCTTTTTCACTGCATGATGTTTAACCAAACAATTGAACAGAAATAAACAGTTCTCTTCGCAGCCTTTGCTTGGACTTATGGGTGGAAAACCCTGATGAAAGAGCAATGAATGCATTGTGAAGACTCCCTCAATTCAATGCAGATTTAAAGCCTGTTTGGATGATGAAGAAAAAGCTCTCCTGTGATGAAGGCAGTGTAGTATTCATGCAAGTCGAGTGAATCAGCGTGGAGTGTTGGTGTAGAGCCGGTAAACGCCTCGGGGGGCTGATTGGGCCATTATTGATGGACAAGAAAGAAAAAGTATGCTTTCTCACTTTAGTCAATCAAGTAAATGGCCCCCTGGGTGTCAGGTCTAGGGTACCTAATGCGCTCATCAGCGAGGAGGTTGATGATGGGAATGTGCAGGGGGGAAGGGCCCCTTCTGGCCCACCTTCGCCTTCGATGTTTAGTTCCTCTGCTTTAATTTTGGTTTTATGAGGAATGAAAAGTTTTCTGAAAGCGAGCCTGTTCTCATAAGCCCTCTCCACTCCTGGCCACGGAAGAATGCCCAGAGAATCATGTCTGGAATGAAGCTCTCCCAGTCGCTAAAAAAACACTTGCACTAAACCGAAAATCCTCTATGTGAGACATTCTCACTATTGAAAATGTCTCAGTGACGTTTAGATAGGGGAAACGGAGAGCAGAGTCTAATGCAAAGAAAAATAGCTGTAGAGAAATTATACTGAGAAAGAGTCATAGGGATTGCTATTAAAAATTGACCATGTATGCACAGGTGTATCTTCATAAATGTGTATTTTACAACAACAAAAAATCAGGTGAAAATATATGTTGATATTCACATTAATATAGTAGTTTAAAAATATATTTCAATGCAATTTTTCAAAGATATCAAAGAAATGAACAAGTAATTGTGTTCTTCCATTTTATTTCTCCTTTAATTGGGAAGGGAGAGAATGTTTATCAGCTCCGATCAATAACTGAACACCAAATGGCAATGATTCATGTTCAGTTCAAGTTCAGAAAAACAGTCAGTCTTTTAATTTAGTTCTTGAGTGTGTGACAGGGAGCCATATACCCAGAATTAGTACATCAGCTTGTTTAAAGGAATATCTGTCTTTTAACTTTAAATAACTGCAAGAATCACCAGACTCATTATGCACTTCCTAATGATAGCAAATCCATCTATACTGGGCTTTGGCTGAAGCTACATCTGTCTCTCTCATATAAACAGAACCAGTGTTGCAATATTTGTAAATTTATGCAAATACAACATTTATATTCCTTTTACTCATACAGCTTCATAAACAGCAATACAACATATTTGTTCTCTTCTGCTGTCTTGGTATTGGGAATTAAGTTGACAAATCAACAATGATGCTAATATGAGGATTTCCTTTTCCTACACATCTTTCTTTGCCATTAATTTCTGCTTTATTTTTTTATTTTTAAGTGATAAATATGCTAATAGGGAGACTTATTTTCTTCTAATGTAGCTTAACTTTCTAAATTATCTTCTAAATGAATGTGTTGCACTCACTAGTGAAGGATTTAGAATAATTTTACCTCCAGGCTGCTTATGCTGTGAATTGAATCATATCCCTGGTGTGTTTTGTTGCCAAAAAACAAAACAGTGGGCTATTGTTTTTCAGTCAACATCCAATGAAAATCTTTATTTGAAATTGAAATGTTTTACACAGCCCTTCTAGTTGTTCCATTAAAGTAAGATGAGATGTGACATCTTGTGACAACAGCCTTTGTTTTCTGTTATTATGTCGTATACAAATGGGAAAAAGTTGATAGAGGTGCAGAGAAAGTCACTCAGGATGAAGTTAGTGGTTGCTGATGCTCGGAACATGTGACATAAATAATGGCCTCCTTATACAAAAGCACAACATTAAAAAGGATCCATTGTTGCTGTACGACATGTACATACACATCTCGAAGCAGCAAGAGATGTATATGTAAAATCAATTATGTATAACAATATTTTTAAAAAACTCAAAATTATTAGCAAAACAAGAAGTCAAGGTCATGTGATGTTAAACATGACGTAAAAATTGTGATTGGCTTGTCATCTACTGTTTACTATATTAGCTTTGGCTAACAAAATTAGCGCTAACTTGAAATCGGAAGAAATTGGAAGTTGATGGGTGGATGTTTGAAATGACGTCAAAGCGTCTTTAAGGTTGGAAAACTGTTCACTAATAAAAGTGGTGTGGTATGGTCTCATATTTCTACCACGTTACTCTGACACCCCTAATTAAAATCCAGTGTGCCACGTTGAAAAAGCCATAGTTGCTTGACTGGCCTGCATGTGCTCTTGTGGTGCCTTCCCAAAGCATTCACACTGCTCTGACTTTGTAGAGTTTTGGCTGCACAATATTAGGAAGACCTGCAATAATGCTGATGAATGTCAGGATAACAATTTCCGATTAATAAACAAAGTTTCTAAGTGTCTATTCTTTGGACTCGTACCAAAACAAGCCACAGATACTGAGTAGTCTTTCCAGCTTCTGGGGAAAGAAAACAAAGAAAATCATTATTTACATCCCGACAACAACGTTTTATTGAAACAGTTGCTTCTGGTCTGATGTTTTGGCATTCAAACAACTTAGTTGTAGTTTCTTAATGACTTCAAGACTTTATCTCTTTACCTTCTAAAACTTTTTTTTATGGTGCATTAAACAACTAGTGTCACCAAATATATTACCAAGATGCAGAGCCTGAAGGTGCGGTACTTAAATAACTTTATCTAACTTTTATTGAGTTGTTGGAAGCTCAGCGATATGCATATTGCTTGCAGTGATCTTGGGACGTTATTTGCAATATATTGTGCAGCCCTAATTGCAGACACATACTTCAGTGAACTTTATTGAGGTGTTAAGTGTTTGACAAAAAGTAGTACATAATCATAAAGTTGAAGGAAAATCATGGATTCTTTGCCAAATGTCCAGAACACAACATGGAAGAAGGTGGACAGATGACAACAAAATGAACTCTTTGTGTAATGGAGATGGGAGCACTGACCATTCCCCTCAACACATGTAATCCACCATGAAGCATGGTAATGGCAGAATCATGCTGGTGAGAGTTTTTGGGAACATCAGCAATTAACAGTGGGAATAGTTTAAAAGAAAATTTGTTCTTTTGAACAGAAACCTGAAACATAAAGCCAGACCTGCACTAGATTGATTTATATTAAATCAAATTCAGATGTTAGAATGGCCTATTCAAAGACCAGACCTGTATGAATAATTTTATACGTGAACTTCACAGGAGAAATTGATCCAAATTTAATTTCCTTTTTGCTCATATTCAACCCATACCTGACTTCTTCATGGCAGTCTGAATCACCCAAATCCCATTTTTTGATTTATTTTACTGTCAGATGTGGAACTAAATCAGATACATATTCAAGAGTTTTCAAAGTGTCTGCAGTCAGAACGGCCATGTCGCACTTTGTCTGACTTTCTAGTCATTGATGTGAGACATGCGTCATAATTCTGCACCAGAAGAAGAAGCCAGACGGGGTAAATCTGGAGATAAACAATGGCTCCAGCTAGCAGTGCCGACGTTTAACTTCCTTTTCTTTTCTTAGCTTTCTTCGTACACTTATGATCTTCTGACAATACTGCTGTTTCCCATTGCTGAAAAACTTTTAAATTAAGCTACAGATGGCGGCATCCGTCATTACCTCCCTAAACCGCACTCTGCTGTGTGGCTTCAGTCGCTTTGGGGTCTTCACCTGTTCTCACAGAAGCCTGATTGTGGTCACATTAAATTAGTAGTATGAATGTCTACGCAAAAGAACTAAACAAAAAATAACATTGGACTTCTACAACTTGCTCTGCAAACATCAGCCTCTCTGTTTTTATCCTGATTTGCTACTCTTTAAGAGGCTGTGTGTAGATTGTATAGTGAAACTGACGTAAATTATTAAATAATCAAAATACTAAATATATTTTCATTTAAAATGTTCTGACAGATCATAATATTTCTCTTTTGAAATGAGCATCATCAACCCTTCATTTTTCTGTTCTAGGGAAGTTGCTAAATACCATGAAAACAAAGAAAACTATACTTTTTCAATTGTTTCATTTGAATATTCGTGTATTTTGATAGGAACCAACTCACCTCACATTATCCATATTTTTAAATTTCACTGACTAATTTTAATTAATCCATATTACCTGAAACACCAGTGTAAGCTCGCCCCCTGCTCTTAATGAAACTGCGGTGTGTATGAGCACCAGCTGAGCTCACTCATTCATATTTTGTCAGTGAAGCTTGAGGCAATAAAACCTGTTTATGCACTCAACTCTTCGCTACTGTTTCCGTAAGCGCTCTGTTTGTGAATCAAATGGTTTCTGATACTTATGAGAGACGTGCGCGAGAAGCAATGATTTTGTTGGAAGGTGAACAAACCCAAAATTCATTTTCGTGAAAGTAACTCGCAGCTCTCCCAATAACTATCAGACAGGACAAACTGTCAGATCCTCACTGTTACAGTATGTGTATCCTGTAATTGTTTCAGTATTACCTAAATGTGTGTTAATTAGCACATCTATTGTGTGCACATGCGTGGGCATCTCCAACTGCACCTTGTTTACCACACAGATATCCTCAGTGCAAGAACACTGAGGTGTGTTGTGCTAATTAGCTTTCCCAGCATGCCATTCGAACTGCATTGCAGCCACGGTGGGGAATGAATATGGAACAAGTTTTCTACGTGCTGATGTGAAGAATCACACAAACAGGTGCTCCGCTGATACGGTGGTGTACTTTTCACTTTCTCCCAAGTTTGAGATGCTATGTAGAACTTTTGTTGTGTTAAATCACATCAGTGAGCGCTAAAATTATTACCACTGACCACTATTTCATCTTGTGCCAGATAATTTTTATTTTTATTATTTTGTAAAAGCAGACTCCAAGCACATTATTGATCAGTTGGAACCTAAAACAGGTTCCTCCTGCAACATGAATCAGTGTTTGCACAGTAGAAGTGAAATGCGTCAGACTGTAAAGTGGGGAATTTTACTGACATACCAGTAGATTTTTTTCTATTCATTCATCGATTACATTTTTTTAAAGTTTTTTTTTTTACCTGCAAAAACTGTGATTGAATATGTATTCTTTTTATTTTTTTCTTCCAGCTACGAGACACTAAATCCATCAGTCACAACACAACACTTCTCCATTTCCTGGCTGAGAAGTGCGAAGAGAATCACCCAGAGATTTTGAAGTTTCCAGATGAGCTGGAACATGTGGAGAGTGCCAGCAAAGGTAGGCTTCTCTGTTCATACGAGCTAAGTTGTGTTCCACAGGATACGATATGTGTTTCTGGGATAGGAAAACGTCTTCACTGTGCAGAAATCGAACAAAATACAAATATGAGCTCACTTTTTCCATTATTTCTTTTATTACACTATATTTTTAGCACATTAAATCCTTCCACGTGCACCATGTGCACATTTCCCTCGACGACAGCTAGCCATCTCCGTGTGTGACAGAAATAGAGCTGTTTAGTCGGACCGTGCTGTCATTCTCCCCGTCAATAATCTAATTCCACTTTAATTCCTTTCTCCGGCGTTCGGAGGAATCCCCTCAGGCTTATTTACTTTGTTAGTCTCTTAATTGGTCATTTAATCTAATTCAACTAATTATGCACTTGACTGAGGCTGCCAGCCATTGTGCTAGTCAACTGAAATAGTCTTCAAGCATTTTGGATAGAAGGATGTGTGTATGATCACATTTGGAATCATAAGAAACCTGTTAATCAACTGAACCCAGAAAATAAATACCTGAACTCGGCAGCTATTTAAAGAGAAGGGAACTATCTTGCACACACAACACATGCAGCGGCATCCAAAAATATTCACATCTTTTAACCTTTGTACGTTTTGTCATGCTACATCCATGTTTAAAGCCATTTTAGGTTACTTTGATAAATCTATTCATGTGTTGACTTGGTCTAGATAAAGTCCAAACTTAAATCTAGTGGAGAATTGGTGGCAAGGTTTAAAACCAAAGTTATTTGTGTGACCCGACTGAACTGGAGTTGTTTCACAACGAAGAATGAACCCGAAGTCAAGTTATTTTCTTTCCTCTTCAAAATTTCTACTCTACTACTTTGTGTTCATCTTTCACATAAAATCCAAATAAAATAAGTGTCATTGTTTGCAATGTTGACAAAATGTGAAGAAGTTGTGCCTCAATGATCACATATAACTTTTCAGTGAGACGCTTTCAGGAGCTTTACATGACCTTGATTGGGCCAATAGCATTCAGACTAATTAGGTGTTATACTCAAGTACTGTTTAATCTTTTTTCTAGGTCTACAGCTTTGATAAATGTTGGCGCTTAATGATTTAACAATCTATTTTCCTGGATTCACATTAGAGCAGATGACAGCAGTGATCAGAAGGCATGTCATGTCTGAATATTGCTTACTTGTTATAGATTGCTTGCGTATCTTTTACTTATTTATCCAAATCTCTAGATTGCCTGAGTCATTTTTTTCACCCTCAATACATTCAGTACTCTGTACTCTCAATTTCAGGTAAATTGCTTTCTTAAGTGACTTTTCTTAACTTTTGATTTCTGGTGAGTTGCATCCAACTTTCACACAATTTTTATTTAGAACTGATTTAAAAAAAACAAAACTCATATTTATTCATTAATATATCCATCTATTATGTGAAACACAGCTGCTGTTTATTTGGAAAACTGATAAAATACCCTGATTAGAGTAAAATAGCATTAAAATATTTTTTCTTCTCACCATTTAACAACATGAATATTATAAAACAATACAGTATCCACTTTGCACATTTGATATGGGGAAAGCAAACAAGCAGAGAATGATTAAACAATAAAAAGTAAATTGCTGTACCTTGAGCCTGTTACCCACTCATGTGATTTATTTTTTGGTTTGTTTTTGTGATTGTTGATTTTGAAAGGCTGGTGTGGGAGAACTGCATCTAAAGGACAATTTCTATGAAGAATGCGTCAGATTTAATCAAAACGTCATCTACCCTTGCAAATATTAAACAATTAATGCATGTGATTTAAATGTGCAATCAGCCCAGGATAATTTAGAAAATTATACTTCGTCCATCTTGATTGATTGCTCCAAGTGGCTCCACTTCATAGTTTTTCTAAAGAAATAGTTTTTTATGTCAGCTTTTTGTTTAGTTATTCCATCAAAAATCAGCATTCTCCAACAGTTGTCTGCACTGAGGAACATACTTGTCTGATTGCAAGTTGAAGGCTAACAAGGAAGCAAGTCCTGCATTTCTAGATGTTGCCTTTGGCTCCTCTTTTGATTCTGCTCCTCTCAAATCTCCCTGTATGAAGGGCAGTTTTTCTAAAATAATCACTTCGTCATTACTAAGTTCTGATGGAACTCCACACACCTAGAATAATTAGTTCAATTATTTTAAGTAATCATGTAATTTAAGTTGGACAAATTTCTTTTAAAAGGTTAGCAGAACTAAAATGTTTCTTCCATCCATCCATTTTCTAACACCCTTGTCCCTCGCGGGGACGGGAAAGGTGCTGGTGCCTAACCCCAGCGAACATTTCGGCCGAGAGGCGGGGTACACCCTGGACAGGTCTAATACGTTCCTAATTTGTCAGTATTTTTATGTGTGTCTCAGTCAATTAGAATATAATTTAAAAGTTAAGTTCAGTAAGTCAATAATTAGAATATACATTTATTTCAATTGCTTCTTTTTGTTAATTTTGATGGTTCGCAGCAGATAAAATCCACCTCTTGCGAAACAAAATCACAAGACTTTGCTTTCCAATTTTCTCGAGGTTGGAGGTTTTCATTTTCATTCACCCTCTCCATTTCCTTCCACTAAACTTTTCCTCACCCAGCTTTTTCGGCAATACCATTTTGTTGTCATTGCTGCTGAAGGACAACATATAGTGAGGGTTTAACTCACTACAAGCTGGTCAGTTGTCGAGTTAGCTGTCTATATCATCATGCTTCTACATTAAAAACCCTTTATTCATAGGACTTGGATAATAAAGTAGATTTTAAGGTTTCATTAGCTGTTATCATCAAATTGAACAGAAATAAATTGCTTGAAATATGTAGCTTTGTGCAATGAATCTGAGTTTCAGTTTTTCATTTTTATTTAATGAAATAAATTAACATTTGATGACATCCTCAATTGCTGTGATGCACCTGCAGAATTAGGGACTTCACAGCACATTCAGGCTTGATTCCCCACATTTAAAACACTTATTTTCTCCCCTTTCATTCCCAAAGTGATGTACTCCATTCATGCTCAGACACCACTTCGCTTGCCAGTTTTAAACATATACTGTAGAGCCCTTAGCAAAAGGTTTTAGGTGCTTTGGATGTCTGTGATGTTTACTTTCCATCTCCATCTGTGTGTAAATAGGAAGATGAGTTTCCAGTCTAGGTTTGCTGTTGCTTCCTGTGATTAAACTCTCAGGGCAGACGCGCTTTTAGTGTATGTACAGTTTATCTACAGCAGGAACTTGTGAAATGAAGTAAAAGAGCAGTTAAAAAAAGAATTAGAAAAATGAGGTTGCTGAAAGAAGCGACGGTTTCCTCTGAAAACCTAACACTGTGACCAGATTTTTGCATAAGTCACAAGGCAGTCATCCCGCATTAGCAAGGACTCTTTCTCTCTCTCTCTTCTGCTTTGTCTCTATCTCTCTCCCTGGCAGAAATCGTGCTGCAGACAAGTATTTCCAGATGGGCTGTCCAAGCTCCTCAGCAGAGGCATAAAGAAACAGACTAAAAAACACTGCTAGTCATCCATGAAAAGTGAGAGCAGCAGACTAAAGAGACAAGGAGCTGCCTTTTTTTTTTCTTGGATTTTGAAGATTTCTTGTTGATTTATCAGTGGTAGAAAGCAGGCTGACCTTGGGACACCCACCTACTGTCCAGCGAAGTGGTGCTGATTAAAGATTGGCAGTCAGAAATGCAGCTTCTTTGATATCCTTCCATCCATGCATGAAAGCTGCTTGTATTGATGAAAGTACAAGTTGTGGATGTCAACATTTATTTAGCTTTTTTTTTTTTTCCTCGATTGGCTCATAAATAAAGAGGAACATTCTGTTCTGTTTTTGCGAGTCTGTGAAAGCTGTTTACAGCTCTTACTAGTGTTGTGTTTGATACATTCAATTTGAATATACAGTAACTGTGAGGCATGCCGGATCTACTGTACTCTTTTCATACCCCTGACCTCATCTTTATAGTACCCCCTGAGCCTTCAGAGAGGTGTCATCGACCAATTTGCCTTGTTAAATTTCCCCCAGAGATGAGCATGTGGGGACTGACAATGGGTACTAAGTCTGTGTGGTGATTCCACTCAATCAGTGGCTCAGTGACGATCTGTCTTGACAATCCGGGAAAAAAGGAAATATGACACGAATGTTCTCATAAATCCATTTAGTATAAGGCATAGCCAAGGGCAAAGTACTTTGGAGCTTGTGAGAGAGAAAATGGAGAATGAGCAAAGAGGAGAGAAAAAAAAAAAGATGAACTCTGAGGATATTAATACCACTGTGAATATATCTATTATCCACATTCATTTCAAGGCACTGCAGCATAATAAAGCAGTACCCATTTCCCATTTAAACTCTGAAGCAGTACTTGGCTCTGCATTACGTAGACAAAATGGCTTTCTGGATGGGGTGGGACACAGAAAGGATCATTTGTCTTTTGGTCTCCGTGGAATTGCATGGAGCTGTGGGGTTCAGAAGATATTCCCTCATGCAGGCAGAGGGTAGCGAGTATTTCACTGAAATCAGGAGCAGCCACTTGAGAATCCCTTTGAATTATTAAAACTGAACATAAATATCATGGTGGTTAAGAAGCAGCACTTCATTTTGTGTTTATGAAGTTAATGGTTTAAAAATAAGTGTTCTATAACTAATTTATTTTATTTAGAAAAATATTTCTTCAATTACTTTAAGTTTTTAACTGAACCAATAAATTTGTCACCTGATTTATAAATACTAACTGAAATATAGAGGAAATTTACTGAGTGTGACCTTTACTTTAAATGTGTCTGTCATGTAGCAACGATCTTTAATATTCTTGTCTTCACATTTAAGCTGTTTATTTTAACCTTGCTATGTTAGACTAAAGATGCAAGGAAAGTACTTTCCTCTTGCATGAACGTAGAACTTTAATTAAAAAAAAGTAACATTATTTAATTTAAAAATCAGTCCGGCTGTTCTGTTGCTTTTGTTAGAAAAAATCCTCACCAAACTGTTTATAACTGGAACTAAAACAT